TCCTGCGCGGGCCCTCGCAGGGTCGTCAGGAATGCTCGGCACTGAACGGGGTCGTTGTATCGGTGTAGTACTGCCATGTTTTCGAAGCTTCTAAGATGTCGGGAGGGATCAGTCGACCCATCATACCAGATATTAAGCTCCCTGAAGCCTTGAGGTAAGTCGGCATCTAGAATATGTTGTGAAAAAGGGTGTCCCCTTGAGCTTCCCGTCTTCCTTCCTTCGACCCGGGCCTGCAAGTCCCGGACCTGCGCTAACAGCTGTTCCAGCGTGTCGTTTCTGGCTTGTGGATTGACGGTTCTGATAGAGGACTCCTCCTCGTCTATCCTCCTGTTTTGCCTTTCATGCGATTGTGCCTGCTGTTCGCGCTCAGGGGGCTGCTGTTCATTTTGGGGTTGTTCGACTCTTGCTTGTTCGATCCTGGGCCGCTCGACCCTTGGTTGTTCGACTGGTGTCTGTTTGAGTTGGGCCGCCACTGCCTCCGCGATCATTCTCTGCATCTCGCTTCTCGTCATGGTCAGCGTTTGTTCCTCGCCTTGGGGCGGTGGCCTTGTCTCCTGGTCGAGTCGCCCAGGCTGCCTCCCCATCCTTAGAGAGATTTCGGTTGATGCGTGATCACTTGTTTCTTCGCTTGTGTCCCTCACGTGGCTGGCCTCCCCCTGCGTGAGAACCGGGATCTTGACTCCGGGTGGGGTAATAGGCGTCTCTTCTCTTGTACGCCCTCCTGACGGCGCGTGTGCCCCAAAAGGTGGGAATCCCAGCACCTGGAGCGGTGGTCTAAAGCTGGGAATCGGCGGAGGTCGCTTGTCCGTCCATGTTGCCCTGAAGTCCTCGTTCAAGTTTTTCTGCACTCCTTCCTTCTCAGCCATCGGAAACAGATCCAAGCTAGGTGTAAAGCTCTTAATTCCTTCAAGAGCTCCCCACAGACGACGCCAAATGATGGGTTTCTTCTCAGATCTGGAACGGTCCAATGAGAAAACGTCCGGATCTGGGATGAACCGGTATGAATGAGCTTAGATCTGATGTGATGGCACTCGAACCGTTGTTGTTGAGCCGCAAGAACACCTGCAAGAACTCAACGCCGGAGGGGTTTCTGGCGTAGAGCCTCCGACGCTCAAGTCAGTATCTGAGAGAGATGATGAGAGCTGCTATGAGAGCAGCAGCAGTAATGGAAAAGGGTATGGAATGAATGGGAGTTAGGGTTTTGGGCTTACCTCAGTCCTTTTTATAGAAGTACAATATTTACCTGAAGTCCCCAAAGTGCCCCGGCCGACTCAATGGAAATGTCCAGAATACCCCGGTCGGTTCATATTCTGCTCACTTTCTAGTCAGCATCTAGATCCTTCCTTAGCTTTCTTCTTATCCTTAACTTCTTCTTCAATGTGCTGAGGTGTGTCAAAGCTATCGGGAACCACGAACTGCAAGACTCCTTCAGTCGACTTGAGGTATTGAGTCGAGTCGACTGGATCGCATCCCACCGTTAATGGACCCTGATACGTCTGATCGCAATCTCGGCCGAGGTCGACTCGTTCTAGTCGATAGGTGTACGTTGACTCGGTCGAGAACCGGGCTTCTTGATTGAATACCGTGAAAACCCTACTGGCGGAGTCGACTGTATTGTAATCGACTTGGCAGTTTCGAACTAGATGATATGAACCGTTATAAGCCAATTGTGGCAATGCCACGGTTACTGAACCGTTACACGACAGTATGGCTATATCAGACCTGGTCTTGCGAAGAAGAAGAAAGGCTGCAGACTTATCAACATATCTAATGGGCCAAGAATTTACAACTTAAAATGGGCCTAATATTTGATTTAAAAATAGGTCCAAAAAATGATTGGGCTAGAATTCAATTCAAATTGGGCCGGAACCAATTTAATTGGGCTGAAAGGAATACAACGCGATAACAAGAATTTTCCAATCGATTCGATTGACGACGAAAATAAATTAATCGGATTATCTATATTTATAATACACGCAATATATATTTATATAATAATAAGCATTTAAAACAATTAGACATTTAATGACTATAATAATAATAATAATAATAATAATAATAATAATAATAATAATAATAATAATAATAATAATAATAATAATAACAATTATGCAAAATAAATAATCTCAATTATTCATAAACAAACGGGGCGTTACACATAGTCCCAATGAAGATCTTGCAATATCGTGCAAGGCCTGTAGCTCGGATCATCTCTCATTTTGTCTTTAATTGTATTTGATACCCAATGAGAGTCAGCTTTCAGATGCCCCCTTGTCCGAAGGTTGGAGACTCCACAAGTATGGACTAGATTACTCTTCTGGATGGCAAACAAATTATCACCTTTGTATCTTGAGGCATATATTCTCCAATCACAACTCTTATCGCTACAACAAACAATCACCTTCTGCTGATCATTTTTCCGATACTTAAAAGAGCGCCTATTTGCAATTGCGTAGTTTGTAACACTCTTTCAGAATTCATCGGCTCGATCGATTTATCTTGCACTAACGGCTCCGATTCTCCATCCGAGAAATTAAAAGAAGGTACGTTTTCCCTGCGTTCATGTTAAAAAAATTAATGAAGATACAAATACACCATATTCAATAGTAAATTCATTAATAATAGAAAAGCAACATTACCGGCTCATGTTCATCGGTCCATCATCCCGTCTTTCATTTCTTCCAATGGCCGGACTTTCATTTCTTTAAATGGCAACTATATCTACAATATTTATTTTCCAACAAAGATGTAGCTGAATCATGTTTCTCACATCCTCATCATCGGACAAATTAAATCTCTTTTTTTTTCTTCGGCGCAATATAGTTTAACATGACGGTTTGCCAACTAAAATTCGGCCACCTCTTACCAATGAGAGTGTACACTTCGTCAAGCGTTGATCCAAGGCTCATAGAGAATATATACAATTCATTTTTGTAGGTACAACTCCCTAATATATCACTTTGTGCTCCTTCCATGTTTCTAAAAAAATTGGATAAAACAAAACAACTTCACATTTTTTTCCCAACAGATATGGTACCAAACAGTTAGAAACGTGGTATTATATAAACAAACAGAGGTACCAAAATAAAAAATAGCGGTACTATGATTATTCTAATCTTATTTTTTTGTTTTATGGTGAATAACACCTAACATAGCCTAACAATAACATAAATTTAGTATACATGAAGAGCAAATTAACATAGCCTAATAATAACATAAATTAGGGTAAATATGAACAACACTAATCAAACTTTAATACATGACAAATTAACCAAAAATATATGAATTAAAGATGACTTTTGGACTCCAAAGTCCTCATGTAATACATATATTACTTACTACTTCAAGTTTTCGCCGGAAAAAAGGCTCAATGTTGCCAGAAAAATATCAATTTTCGCCGGGAGAAGTTTGTCGTTGGATTTGTTGCCGACGGACTTATTCTCTCCAGATACAATTTTAGCCGGCGAGTTACAAATGCGGAAAAAAAAATAAAGGGTGGCCGGAAAAAATGGGGTGATGGGAACGGGGAGGGGAAAATGGGAGAAGAGAGAAATGGGGTGACGAGATGGGAGGGAAAAAGTAGAGTGGAAAAGAAACTAATTACATTAAACTAATATTATTTGTGTAATAGTTGGTGTAAGAAAAATAATAATAAATTAATAAGAAATGGAGCATGTTAGTGGGATGATGTAATAAAGTAATTTTTTTTTTAATTTATTTTAATAGAAGAGATTTAAGTGGAAGTTTATTAAGGAGGTAGGGAGTTAGGAAGAATTTAAAAAGTGGTAGGGAGTGAGAAGGAAATTAAAAAGAGGTTAAGGGATTTTAAAAGAATTCTCCCTTATTTTATCTTATCACATTATAATTGAATTAAAAAAAAGGAAAAAACGTCGAGGGCTGTTGCGACCCTAAGGTCACAATGTGACCTGGGTCGCGTAATTTCCTGCCTTTTTGTTTTTGTTTTATTTTCTGGTGACCCATTAGGTTGGGTCACCGATAAGAATAGCCTTAGAGTTAGTTGGCTCTCGATTTGTATTCATGTATATTTCGTGCTTTAATATCTATATATATATAATTGCTAGCATGTAGTATTTAATAAAACCTATTTAATAAAACCTCTAACATTTTCCCTCCATTTTCGGTTACAAAATTTAACATTAATATTTTTTACTTCTCACATTAATACATCATATTATGTGTAATCATGTATTTTTCCTATTATATTTTATAATAGTTATTGCTAATACCAACTAATAATAATTCACAATAAATATAAATTACTTAATTATAAACAATTGTTTCAAGTTATTTATATTAAGATCAATATTATCTTTTTCTTTTGTATTTCATGAAAAAATTTCTTTAAAAATAATAAGTAAATTGTTTTAATAGCATAGTCAAACAACTTTAAAATCTTATAAACAATTGTTTCTTAATAATAATAATAATAATAATAATAATAATAATAATAATAATAATAATAAAATAATAATCATACTATTATTATATAATGATAATAAACAATTGTTCATAATAATAAAATGGTTAATTTATTTTTCCTAAAGTCAAATTTTTTAAAATGAAATATGTTCATTATCTAGAATTTTAATATTAAATTCTCAAATATTACTTATAATATTTTATGTACATCTGTACATAAGCACATGATATCTACTAGTTATGTATCAGAGTCAGTTGACTCTCCATTTGTATTCATGTACCTTTAATATAAATTTTGATCCCCTATCCACGGTGGGCAGTGCCCACCACTTTGTTTTATATGAAAAACGTATTTTGAAAATACGTTTTTCAATTAAATTATTAATTTGTCTGAGAATACGCTTTTCATATAAAATAAAGAGGTGGGTACTGCCCACCGTGGGCATGTGAGCGAGGCTACCTTTAATATTATATATCGTTTTGAACTTTTGACGAAAAAAAAAAAAAAGAATGTTCCAACACAAGGGCAAACAGGTGACGAGTAGAACACAAAAGCGGAGATGTTAACTCAAAGCCCAGATTTTGGTTGTTGGAAATGGCCGAAGACAGCAAACAACATTAGTCGCTGTTCGTCTTCTCTCTTCTCCGTGCGTTGTTCCTCATCCTTTTCTGTACCCCAACGACCCATCAGGTGCTTGTTCTGAGTTTTCTTTTCCCCCTTTTTCCAGCCTTTTGTGCGTTATTTCACATGGTTGTTAAAAGGTTTAATTTTTTTTCTAATCTTTTCTGTTAATACTTGAGTAAATTCAGTAGATATGCAGTTCTTGGCGCTGGGTTTGCTGGGTTGTCCGTTGCTTGGAATTTGCTTCAAGTACTCTTTCACTCTCTCCCCCTCTCTCGTTTGCTCGCTATTTTCTGTGTATATTTATGAGTTTTGGTGGTGTGATTGCGTCGACTTTAGACGTTCTTGGTTCCTGATTGTAGGCATTTGATAAATAGTTGTTCAAATTGTGTTCCGTTATTTCCCCAAGTGTTTTCTTGAAGACTAAAAGATTTGTAAAATAAATAGAAGTAAGTGTTGGGTGAATCTCATGCTGTTACTGAGCAAGAATGCACGATGGATGGAAGCAAAAAGTATAATGAATCATCAGGTTTTCCTAGTAACTGTGTGAGTACAATGAATTCTCAGGTTTTCCTAGTAACCCTGTGTTTTGTTGGCAATGTTGACAGCAGCCCTCTCATCATTAGTGCTTTGAGTGACCATATATCCTTTCATATTTTTATTCTTTTCCATGTACTTTTTTTTTTCTTCGTTTTCTTATGTTTATATTAATTGTTGGAAGCATATAATTACAGCACGGCCCTAAGGAGTCACATATTCATGTTGATATTTATGATGAAGTTGGCATTGGTGGAGGTGCATCTGGAGTTGCTGGTGGTCTTCTGCATCCGTACTCCCCAAAAGGTCCTCATCTCATTTTAGATTGCCTTCAGCTCAACAAGTTTTTTCAGTATAAGTTGTTTATCTTTGTAAAATACCGTATACATGAGTTCAAACTATATAATATGTGGTATAAGTTCGGACTGGCATGGTTATTTATATGGCAGTGAAGCTTCTTTGGCGGGGTGAAGACTTGTGGAAAGAGAGCTTATATCTCTTAGATATTGCTGAAAGAGCGTTGATAAATGAGGGTAAAGGTGCAACTCCGGAGAATAGCGTATCACCTATAATCAGAAGAAGGTTTGTTTTTTGTTGTAAGTTACCATTAATGGTTCAGTTAAGCGTCTATATTTGTGCAGAGGGTATATTGGGTGTGAAGTTTATGGTGGCTTACCTTGTAGTTCTTGTGGAAATTGTCATGTTTGCGATTTAATCTTTTCTTTTATCAATAGTTGAACTTAATTTTATCGGGTGATTACAAAGAGATATCTTGAGGATTAAAGTATTTCAAAAAATTTCTGCAGAAGGCTTCAATTTACGTAAGCTCCCTTAGGTTTTACTTCCAAAGGAGTCAATTATGATATTTCTATTAAATGTTTTCAATTTTTTATTTATTTATTTATTTATTTTTTTTTTAATGAAAGAGAAATATAAGAAAGAACAAATCCTCAAGGGTGTTTTGAAACTCTTTTGAGCTTTCATGTAACCACTCCAAACTCAGGCTCAGGGATATTTTTCGTAATTATCCCCTAACTGGCTAATTCTATTTGACCTGACATTCCCTTAACATGCTCTCTTACTATTGAGTTTGTTACAAGTATAAGTTTTTCACCTGGATCTTAGGCTAAATTTGCTTATTTCAGAGGGATCTTAAGACCAGCTGTGAATATGAAGCACATTGGCGTAATGACAGAAGTAAGACCTCTCAAGCTACAAAATTAAGTATGAAATGTTAATGCAATTTGTCACTGACTTGTTTCCATGATTAGAATGCTCAGAACTGTCTTGCCAATTGCAGAATTGAGCTTGTGCATGGAGATGCCGCTCAAAAGCTCGTTCCCAATTTATCGGTTCCTTCAAACACGGCATTTTATATGCCTGAAGCTCTGAATATAAATGCCCAAAACTACCTTCAGGTTAGAAAAAGCGGTCCTATGTGCCAAACTGCTATCTGTTTTCTAGTGGGTTTTTGCTTTTCCATTTTTCTCTTTCTCTTGCAGGGTCTATACCTAGCATGTGAAAATCTAGCAAATGACATGTCTACCTCGGGTCATGGACATCGAAAATTGAATTTTCGCCAGGAATCGGTTAAGAGCCTTAGCGAACTAGCAGGTAAAATCTTTGTATGAGAATGTTTTTCCTCTAACAGAAGAAAGTAATTTGTTTCCACTTTATTATGATCTGAAAATGATTAGTTTTGGCATGCATATAATATACATTTTCTACAATCCTATAGTTTTAAATATAAAGGAAAAGATGATGAAATGAATTGGTGGGATTTAGCAAATTTAAAATTCTCATTAATTTCCAAGGGAATAAAAAGTCATGTTTTTTCAACCGATGCTTTAAATTTAACTCTAAACAATTCTCATTGTTTTTCTAGAAATGGAAATGCTGATGGCATGTCATCTGCAGGGGACTTTGATGCAGTGATTGTATGCTTTGGAGCACGGACTGCTTTCTTGCCAGAACTATGTGGAAAGCTGCCTTTGAGGACGTGTAGAGGCATAATTGCTCAACTTCAACTTGGTGATGATATTAGGTAAAAGTCTAATGATATTTGTTGCCATATTGAGTAGTATGATAGCTTGCTTGGAAAGCTTATGTTGTGCCTGATGAGGACTTGGACAAGCAGTTTAATATAATTAACTGCCTGTAGTTTTGAGCCTCCTTATTGTTATTGCATCCACATTTGATCTCATTTGTCTTTTCTTAATCGGTTTACATAAGTTTATTTTGATTTTGTCGGATTATATTGTTCACAATTTTACCACGAGCTTGTAGCTTAAGACCTTCTCCAACCGGCACCAAAAACTCAAAAAATGGAGTAATTTGCCCCCAATCGCTACCCAAACGGAAAATGCAAAATGAGTTTTTGTAATTCCCTCTCCTCTTCTACACTGAATTTGCGTTTGCGTTTTTACTGTTCCAAAACGCAAAATCATTTTTAATTACAAGTTGGTCCTTTTTATTTTGTAGGGTGTTATTTATATACTATTTATTTATATTGTTTAGTTGTATGACCATCATTTGATTTTACTGTGTTTTATTTTTGTCTTCATTATATGTTTTTAAATTTTAAAACATAAGAAAATAACAATAGAAGTTATAATATTACTAGAACATTTATAGATTATGCATATTTGACAACAAGTTTAATCCAGTAAATGTAAAAATATTTTTGAAACATATATACAAACCCAAGTGTTTATTTTTTTATTTGTTCATAGTAGAGTAAATATACATATTAATTTTATATTTTTCACAATAACAATGTAAAATACTCAAAAAGTAATTTCATTAAAATTTAGTATAATATTTAAAATAATAAATATTATTTATCATTTAATTTTATATGTTTCACAATAATAATGTAAAATATTCATATTATTTATGGTATTTTTATTTAACAAGAAAAGAAAACATTAACATAGAATAACAACAATACTAATATAAATTGAAATAACATTAAAACATGATAAATCACGGTTTTTTAATTTCTCATCTTGTGCGTTGTAATTTTTAATTTTATCTTGTGTGCTGTAATTTTTAATTTATCATCTTATACGTTGTAGTTTTTAATATTATATTGTGTGTCGTAATTTTTAAAAATTAATTTTGGATGACTATTTATTTCTCCGATTTTATTACGTATTTGATTATAACTTTATCATTAGTTTTTTACATAAAGTCCAAATTGAATTGAAAATAACAGTGTGTGGTACTATTGAAAAATTGTAAAAGTTGATGTAAAAGAGAATATTCTTTTGGGTTGGAGAATGGGTTTTTCGGTTAGAGATGAATTACTAATGGGATATGTACTGCAAAATGGGTTTGAGTATGTGGTATTCGGTTGGAGATGGCCTAAGTGGTAACTCCAACACTTCGTAAGAGTGTTGCACTGGTTGATACATGGTTTTATCCCTGCACCTCATTTTTGAAGGAATATAGACTTCCCTTCTTGTTAGCTCCCCCTATAACCAATAGAAAAAATCTTTCTAATTCATTCCCCTTTCCCGAGAAACGGAATCCTCTTTTGTTGACGTTTTCGGATGTGGCAGGGTTTTGATTGTTGTGGGGCTTAGGTATCTGACTTAATTGGATATCCCCTACCTCGTGTATGTGGTATGCCTGATTGTAGAATATGGGGTGCTACTTCGGATGGTAGAGTCAGCCAATACTTCTGACTGAACTGCGCTTCGCTTCGTTCGTTAGGTAGAGTCAGCTAACAAAGCTATATATTATTGGGTAACAATGTGTCCGTGCCTGAATTTGTTGCTCATTAATATGGTGAACAATTAGTGCTTGGGGTCCTAGATTTTGTATGAAAATGTGAATGACGCAGTTTTGGCAAACTAGGTAATTCTGAAAATGGCTTTATCATTGGACATCTGATATATGAATTGTTATCTGTGATAACAACCTCTGATAAATATATAAGAAAATTACTATATTTATTCATGGGCCAGTAATGAGAATGGCTAGCGTGCGTCTAATTGACCTGATTAGTGCATTTTGCCTATTTTTTCTTAATTTCTGAACTTGTTATTATTCAGGTTTAGTCTAGTTACAGACACCAGATGTAGCTAAATCGTTTCTTTACAAATTGTAGGTGTTGAGTGAGGGTGAGCGATCATTGGGAAAATTTACCGAGTATCCGTAATTTGCAATAGCTTCTAAGGGCTATTTGTAACTGGATCTTGTTCTAAGTAGCCTAAAGATAGAGTTACTTTTTTTGCCACCATCCTTTCAGTTAATTCTCTATCCACATTCTAAATAAAGCTCATTGTGCTTTCCCTCATTATCCAATAAAAAGAAGAGATTTCATGTGCAGAGAAGAAATCCTGAAAGAAAGCCCTTCGATTTTATCCGATGCATGGCTTGCAGTGCACGGAGGTCGCCACATGGATCTTGGGTCCACATGGGATTGGAACTCGATAAATCACTCGAGGGATGTTGCCAAGGATGAAGCAAACGAGGCAGCTGAGGCCCTCGTCCAGAAGGCTTGCTTGGTGTACCCGCCTGTGAAAAATTGGAGCGTGAATGGAGCCGTTGGGGGTTTGAGGGCAATGCCGCCGCTGACTGAGCATGGATCACTTCCGATCCTCGGCAGTTTGGATGAGCTGGTTGATGCGGGGCCCACTTGCAAGTATTGGCTGTTTACAGGGCTTGGCGCAAGGGGTCTTTTGTTCCATGGTTGGTTCGGGAGAGTGCTTGCGCAGGCAGTACTCGCCTGTGACGAGGGTTTGCTCCCTCATCAGTTGACTTTGTGGAAGCGTAGTTATTGAACCTTTTTATTTTTATTTTTATTTTTATTTTTATTTTTTTTTTTCTTCGTGTTGTAGTGTTTTGTTTATGTCAGTAATTTGTATGAAAGGCCATTCAAAATTTGAGAGACCCACCTCCACAGTCATCCAATGGAGTTGTACACTTGATCCCATATGTTTTGCTCCTCACATTATATCTTCTTTCAAATCCTAAAGGATTTAGAATTGATTTTCAAAAGTCCAACTAGTACCTGATACCACCTTCTTTAGGTCTTCTTTGTTCTCGAAGATAATTTGGAAGAAGTTCGGCTCGAGCTCTCGAACTTCTACTGCCTTTTGGATGCATCATAATTGTCCCATTGTTCTTTTTAGACGAAAAAAAAAGCTCGCATTCTTATCTCACAAGACCTTTTCAAAAAGGCTTTTCCGGCACTCCGCTTTGCTCAATTTGACATCTTTCGTGCTAATGTCAACGGCCGAGTTTTCTGCTACAGAGAGCGAAAAGTTTTTTAGGCGTTTCTCAAGTTCATCTTCTCCGCCACTAGAACTTGGGCGCATTGCCCTCCATAAGTGGTGCATATTGTATGTCTAGGCATCTGTTAGCCAGAGAGACTTTCGTTATTGTCTTTCTTTCTCTTTTTTTGTTCGGAACTTGTAAATTGTTGATTTTTCACCCGGAAAAAAAAAAAAAAAAAGTAAACCCCACACGAAAAGATTACATCTTAAGCACAACCATAAAAAAAGCTTCCATTCATGATAGAGTGTGAAATTGAACCAAACAAACAGAACGAATTTGGCAAATAGACCCCATCCAGTTGATAAAGAAGCAAAAAAACATAACAAAGAAAATGAATATGAAGAACTATTAACGGGCTGAAATTAAGAAATCTGCCTAGGAATAACAATCTGCCTAAGGGGATGCTTGCATATAAAAATTTTTGGATTTGTTTGGATTTTTTTTGTTTGGTTTAGTTAATTTTGAAAAGGAAAATTTTTACACCTACTACATGAAATAAAAGAATTTTTTAATTTTACCTTTCTAGAACAATTAATAGGATATATACCTAATCAAGTAATTTTATTTACGTGATTGCCTAAATATTAGTTACCTTTTGTAACGTCCTCTATCCATATCAGTTATGCTTTGGTGGCGTGATTTACTCATTTAATTCCTTAATTCCCGCAACTGAAATTCTTTAATTCACGCAGCTCTCAGGTGGTATATATTGAGTTACGTTAGTATATATTCAGTATATGTGCGCAACTGGAATTCCTTAATTCATGCAGCTCTCAGGTGGTATATTGAGTTTATATTAGTATATATTCAGTATATGTGCGCAACTGGAATTCCTTAATTCACGCTTCAGGTGGCAAATATTGAGTTTATGTTAGTATATATTCAGTATATGTGCGCAACTGAAATTCCTTAATTCACGCGGCCGGTATATATTGCGTTTATGTTAGTATATGTTGCAATGAAAAAATGTCTTCCATAAAAAATTGTATCTTCCTCTTTTATTCTTTTATACATACAAGTATATATATAGTTTAAAAACATATTATAACAGATTACTTGATATAAAACCATACATATACACAACACCAACAAAAAAATTCAGTTTATGCTAATTTTAAATAGATTTTATACATAAAAATTATGTCTCGTGATAAATTTTTTTATCATATACCGAAAATATATTCAATATAAACCATACATATACAAAAAAAAAAAATCATCAGTTTATGCTTTGTCAATATAAACCATACATACATATAAGGTAGCCTTTATATTATACAGAACATATACTCTATATATACAGAACATATACCAGTAACTTATATAAAATGAAAACTATCTACCTACGAATCAAGCACAACAAGTTTTCAACAATTATCTTCTGAGAATTTCTTCATCAAAAACATATACTGCACATACACTAAACATATCTGAAAAAGGGGGAAATAAATAAATAAATAAATGAATAGGAGAGGAGATAATGGCAAGAAAACTACAGTGGATTGATATTCAACTCCCCAACAAGAACTTGAGAGGATTAAAAAGCTTGATTTACAACAGCAACTCAATAAGCTCGACCTTTTTCAGCTTCGAGTATCCTTTTAACCCACGAGACTTGGTAAGGGCCTTCAACTCGGGCAGCTTCTTTCCACTCTAATCACCAACCTCCACCCGGTTCTCTTCTTCCCCCTGCACGCTGTCACGCTCGTCTCCTTCATAAACCCCATATAACTCATCCAACCCATTCCCTTCCGAAAACAAAATAATCCACATCAGTCTCGTCTGAATTAGATTTATGGTCTAAATAAATCCATATATGAACCACACCAAACAAAGTGATGCCGACGAGAGTGCTTTGGTGTTCCTCGTCAAACATGATCATCTCCGACCTCCCGTTTGATCACTATTCTATTTATCATTAATATTTTATGTTTCTTTTATTCAGCTATTATTGGGCCAACATTTATTGGGCTTTTAATATTTATTTGTTAGGGAGTAGGTGTCTGGTACATAAGGCACTTCTTCACTGTCATTGAACAGATTATTGATTATTGAAATAAAGTTTTCGTATTTGAGAGTTTCTCTGATATCTCAAACCCCATCGTACGCTTCCTACATCATTTGGTATCAGTTAACCAGGATGATTCTCGATGCCTCCACGACCTTCACGACGAGATGTCGAGATTAACGATCGTTTCCAACGCATAGACGATCAGATGAAATCAATGGACACTCGTGTGGAAGATCTTTCTCTGGGAATTGAGGATATCCGTCTCATGTTAACTACCCTGGTGGGGGATATGCACGCGAACCGTGAATTCTCTGGCGGCCGCGGCGGTCGCGGGGGTCAAAGGGCCGGTCGGGGTGGACGTGGATTTGTCGCGGCACCCCGAAAACCATTCCAGCACCTCGACGTTGACGACAGTGACGGGACATAGTCGATCGACAATCCATTTGCAGAGGGTTTTGACTGCGACCAGGAAGAAGAGCAGTTTCAGGACCGTGGGACTGATCACCACCGACGCGACGACAACCAGCGTGAAACCCTAGACCATAGATGCCACCGCTGTAGGGAACACCATCATTTTGCACACGCTGAAGGTGTGAATGAGGGTCGATGGGAATCGGTCTTCTGTGTGGTGATTCTGGAGTTTACTGGAGGAATGGAGGCAACTGATTTTATCGATTGGTTGACAGCCGTCGATTCAGCTCTCGATTTTAAGGGTGTACTTGATGAGAGGCGTGTTGAACTTGTGGCGACTAGGCTTCATGGGCGTGCAACTGCTTGGTGGTTGCAGTTGAAAAGTGGACGACATCGACAGGGCAAAGCAAAAATCCAGTCTTGGGGCAAGTTTCGTAAGTACCTTGAACGTGAGTTTTTACCGCTCAATTTTATCCAGACACTTTATTAGAAATTACAGCACTGTCGACAAGGAAAACGAAGCGTAGATGAGTATACCGAAGAGTTCAACAGACTCATTGCGAGGGTGTACATTCACGAAATGCTGACACAACTAGTTTCGCGTTATATCGGTGGGCTTCGTGCTCCCGTCCAGGACATGCTCAATTTATTTACACCAAGCACTGTTTCAGAGGCGCACCAGCGCGCCTTACTCGTCGAACAACAGCAATCTCGTAGGCCGTCTTCCACTTTCGCTCCTTCACGGCCTTCCCCGGCTATCTCGGGGACACCAACGGCGCCAGTACCTTCACGTCCGGCTGTAGGACCGACATATCCCGGTTCATCAGTCAGGGGTGGTGGAGTAGGGACCATGCCGGGAGGTGGCACCTGTTTATCCCATTTTTGTTGTGTTTTTCGTTATTATTTTTCTTTTCTTTTTCCCACGTTTAAGTCTTTTCGTTCATTTTTAGTTCGTTTCGTTCTTTATTATGTGTTTTCCTTTATTTTGAGTCTTTAGGTGTTTTTCGTTTGTTTTTCCTGTTTTCTTTTGTGTTTTGTCATTTTTTGTGTGTAGGTCGGGAGCTTTGAGCGAATTTTCTCTTCAAGAAAATTTGGTTTCGAGAGCATAGTTGAATAGATGAGTTCATTAGCTACGCTTAGGAAAAAACGAAACTCAAATCTGATTTCGGACGAGCTCAAGCGAGGCCGAAACGTAAGATGGTGCAGTGCAGCCCAGTTTTCATCGCCGCGGCCGCGACCTCTTCCTTCAACGCGACCGCGGAGAACAAAAAAGTCCCAGAGCCCAACCTTCGGCGGAAAAATATTGCGGCCTCGGAAATAGTCACGGCCGTAGATCCGTTGTTCACCGCGGCCAGTGGGAAGCTCCGCGGGCGCGGAGGACGCGAAAAACAGTTTTTTAAATAGCAGATTTTTTAGACGATCGAGGGTATTCTCCCCCTCCTGGGACTAACCTAGGGGAGAAAACACGAACAAAAACTCCCTTCTCCTTCCCCTCTTCTTCTTCTTTGTTTTCCCTTTTTTCTTAATCTTTCTTTTCCATTTTTCTTCCTCTTCTTCATAGTTCTTAAGGATTAAACTTGTAAATTCATATTGAACACTTGAATTTGGGATTAATGTTCTTCTCTTTATTTTTGATTCATGAATAATGGTTGAATTGAAAGAGATGCTGAATTGTGTTGAATTGATATTACTTAGCTAAATCTTTTTGCTAGGGATAGGGGATGATTGTTCTTGCTTGAATTGTACTTGTTAGGCTTTGATTCGTTCATGCTTATGTGAGTTGAATTGATTAGGAAGTGATGATTCGTTGTTCGATTGATTGATGTAATCGAAGAGTGACACTTCGATCTTGCAATTGGAAACATTTGAATGTTGATTAGTCGAGCTAGGGCTTTGTTGATTCTAAATGATTAGTTGATTAAACACCTTCTAATTGAATTAGCGACTTTTAGAACTGAAAGGGGTGAAGTCGTAGACTTAGGCTCACATGAAGTAGATGATTTTGTAACTGAACAATCTATGTGTTTTATCCCTTGTTACGTAGAATTATGAAAAGTTATTGTATTGTATGCTCGAGCTTGT